GATTGTTAACTATGGCAATTTTCTCCTGACTCACAAACCCACAGAATTGTAGACTCTGTAGCCAAGTTGAATTGAGTCTAAAGCTGTGAATAAGCCTGAAGAGGCTATCTCCTTGGTTACTTGGAGCATATGCTATGAGGACAGAGAGAACCAGATAGCTGGGATAACCACTTCCCTTCAAATAAAGAAGACAGCTGACTTCCCCGAGAGGGCTTTTGAAGCATGGGGCAAAATAATTTGGGGTGTCACTGAGTAAATGGTAAACAAGCTTTCTCAAGCATTTGTTTAGGACTCAGGGTGGTCTGTCCATCCTCTTTGACTTGTCATACTGCAAGATAATTTGTGTTCATCTACCCACAAGGAGCACCAGGGAGCCACCATCCCACTAAACCTTCCTCACCCAGATGCAGGTGAAGCAGAAGGTGCAGAGACTGTCCTGTCAGCAATGGCAAATGACCATTGAAACAAAGTAGCAGTGAGATTGCCTGATCTTTATCACATAAGAGAGCATGAAGAATAAGTATTCATTCCTTCAAACCCTGTGGTTTCAATATTAGGTCAACTCTGTCATCATTAATTCATTTTATACAAGGTTTGTGTTTCTGGTAGGCTGTATCTTCAGGGTATGCCTTTGCCCAAAATCATGTCTCTGAATTCTTCCCAAAGGCAGAATGTCAAATGTGGAAAAGAATGTCATGAGAACAAAGACTACTCTGCTGTCTCTAAAAGGAAACAAAAACAGAGCCTGTAGCATGAGTCACAGTACTCATGGATTGAGGCAGTAGTATGTGAGTTCCCAGCATGCATTTTAAGAGAGTCTATCAGGTGCTGGCTAGTGTGAGATGTTAGTTGCTGTGAGTTTGATTTGATTGTTTTGTTACTTGCTTGGAAAGGCCTTGGGTGTTTGATTCTCCAAGCAGCAGTTGGAAAGGCCTATTCACACACCTAAATGTGTCGATAAAAGAACTGAGATTGATCCCTGCTCCTTTTTTTCCTCTCTGAGAGGACACACCTTCATGTATTTGCTCAGCATCCAACTGATCGAGTACTTCCTCTCTCACTCAGTCTCTCTCTCTGTCTCTCTAAGTATCTGTTTCTCTGTCTCTCTGTTTCTCACATGTGTATGTGTTGTGTATTTTTCTATGTGTTTGTGCATGTATATCCCACTATTCCCTGCAATCAGGGATCGGTGGTTGGACATGAGGAGTTACCTATCTCACATTTCCCAGGTGATACCTTGGTGAAAATTGGGAGCACCACTTTGAGCATTATAGTTCTGCCAGTGTACTTATTTTAGTGACACATAGATATTCCTTTTGGGAGTTTATAAATCTGTCATGATGTTTAGTCCCATTGTCAAAACTGTTAATGATGTTATTTTTGTCTCCATTGACACAGGTATGATCATGCAGAATTTGTTTTTGAATACAGGAGAAACATCTTCACAGATTCTGGAGGGTACACACCTGTGGATGAGACTCTAAGTAAATTCTTGGATAGCTATTTCAGCAAACCTCCTGAGAGAGCTCTTGCACCTCCACCTCCCATTATCTAAACAGCCTGCCTCTGCTGGCCTAGACTCAGAATAGCTGTAAATAAATTGTATGCCATTCTTTGGGTTTGGTCCTGGGTTTTGGCAACAACAATGTAGGTAAATGTGTTGCAACAACTCTGGAGAAAAGTGTCCTGACTACCTGCGAGTCAGGCAACACCTTGAGCTGCTTAAGATAGCTCTTATGTCAGGAACTGCAAGGAGACAGTTTAGGCCTGGAGCACATGGTATCCCACACTCTTGAGCTCTGCCCTGATGATGTAAGATAAACAACTGATTTCTGATTATTCTACTTTATTACATTTCTACCAGATACATGAAAAT